CTGAGATACCAACATCCCATATGGATGCTGTTCCACTTCCAGTGCAGATCCCCGTTAATAACAACACAGGATGGCCCAGAGTTTGGGGCCCTATTGTACATGTGGGAGACCTGGAGGAAGTTCCTGGCTCTGGCTTCAGCCTGGCCCAGCCCACCACTGCAATCATCTGGGAAGTGGGTCAGCTTTCTGATCACCTCAGTTCTCAGTGCTCCCTTATCATGGAAGGCATTCAGGGGTAGTATCAGTAAGCCTTACTCATGGATTTGGATGTGGGCAAGGAGAAAATGATACAAATTTAACATGATTTAAGGATCCCATATAAAGGCCTATGAACAGGGCCCTGGTAGGGGATAAGAGAGACTTCAAAGTGCTATTTGGAGTACAGAAAGGTTGAGATACCGGAAGGGTATCTAAATGAGTGGTGAAAGCAGTTGAGTGTTTAAGACAGTACAGTTGGAGTTTTCTGTTTGTTTGTTACTTTCTGCCAAAAACGTTCTGGCCTTACTATGGTTTGTGTTGGAGACTCAATCCCCAGTGCAGCCATTGGGAGGTGGGGCCCAATGGGAAGTGTTCGGGCCATGAGGGCTCCGCCCTCATGGATAGATCAATGCCACTCATAAAAGGCTTGAGGCTGTGAGGCCCTCTGGAGCTCTCTTGCCCAAATGATGTCTCCTGCCCTGTTACAATGCAGCCAAAGGACCCTCACCAGATGCAGCCCCTCAGCTTCTAGAACCATAAACCAAACAAGTTTCTGCTGCTTATAAATCACCCAGTCTGTGGTATTCTGTTATAGCAGCACAAAATGGATGAAAACAGACCTGGAGCTCACATTTTGTTGTTGTTTATAAATATAGTCAACTTAAATAAAATGAAACTACTCTTTTGGTGAAGAGGGGCTGTGATTAATGCTTGGCCAACTCTATTGGAATAAGATAAACTCCTTTAAACCATCAAGCTCATTTACAAGCTCTGTTTATTAAAATCGCTTAAACATTTCAAACTCCTTGCTTAAGTTTATCACATTTGGTTTCCTAGTTAGCATTTAAATAATTGACATGACACTTTTATATCCAATTAAGGCAGACTATTTTATATACATAAAAAATCTCTACTAAATCCGGTAAATTAAATCCATAAATAGAGTGATTCTATTCTAATAATGTTAATGAGCTATGTCAATATTTGTATGCCCATCAACTTAAAATCACAAGCCTAAAATCAATTTCACATTTTAAATTGGAATCACAAGCTTTTAAAATATTCAAATCACTTACATAAGAAACATGCACAAAATTGTTCTTAAATTTAATGCTATGGTTTGGATACGGTTTGAGTGCTTCCCTCAAGGGTTTGAGCTGAAATTCAATCCCCACAGTAAAGCCTTAATCTACCATGATGTTTAGAGGAGGCCCTTTGGGAGGTGGTCAGGACTGGGTAAGGTCATCAGGGTGGAGCTCCATGACCATGACTGGGTCTAGGTGGCTTCACAATGAGAGGGGAAAGACCAGAGAGACACACACACGCAGGTGCACTCCCTGTCTCTTACCATGGGGTGCTCTGTGTTGCCCTGGGACTACACCAGCAGGAAGGCCATCACCAGATGCAGGTCTTTGAACCTGCAGATCCCTGAGCTGAGAAAGCCTCTTTTCTTTATAAAGTTACACAGCCTCAAGTTATTTCTTTACGGTAATGCAAAATGGAGCACTACCCTTAACATGAAGGTAGCGATATTATATTTATTTTCTCATCTCAGTATCTAATTCTAAATAGTCCCAGACTTGGAGAGTATGTACTGAAAAGCAGCGCAGATTTACTGCCTCAAGGATTTAAACCTGCTGCATCAGGAGCTGAGGACCACACTACAGCTTCACAGAGCCAAGGTGACCTGGAGCCAGAGAATGTTCCAGAACTCCATTGCTGAAGAGTGGACAGCCTGAGCACTGCCTGGGTTACCATGACAACAGGAAGTGCCCAGTTGGCACCCTTCAGTGAAGTGTGATTTTAGAATCTTCATCCCATATACCTCTAAGTTCTTATTTTTAGTTAATAGAAGGAAGTTGGCAACTCCACCTGGCTTGGCTAACTTCCTCTATGACCTCATTGGCTTCTGCATTTATTTGGCACCCTAAAGAAATGGCTAACATAATTCCATCCTGCTCTCATGGCATTTTAATCCTGAACATTTGGCCCTGACCCAAGACTCTCAAGTCACAAGAACAAAACCATTCCCCTTCCTTGTGACCTTTTAGGATTTCCAAAGTGGGCTAACGGCATCTCACACTCCATTAGAGCAACCTCTCTTCCTGTACTGAATCTCAGCTTTGGATACTGTTCTCCTTCGATGTTCTGCCTCCTGCTCCTGGATGCCCTGGACATTAGCTGTGGCCACCCAAGCAGGGTGCTCTCTGGTCTCCAGCTCAGATGCATGAGCCTGTTCACTGCTGGACTCCACTGCTGGAAGCTCCCTGGCCATTCCCACCTTCCATTCTGTACCAGTCACCCCCTGAGGAGCAGGTACAAGCCTCTGGTTGTGATGGTCCAGCCTTTATATTTCTGGGGTGTGTGTATGGGGAGAGTGGACACACAGCAGCAGAGCTGGAGGCACATTGGCTCTAGGCCTCTCATCACTTGTACGTACATGTGTGCTGAGAATATCGCATTATCCCTGTTCCCACCTCATGCACTTTATAAGGGAACACAGCTGATACCTGGCAAAATCACCATGACATTCTCATGCTCCCAAGCAGAATATCTGCTGATGATTGTGTGTTTTCCTTCTAGTAACAGATATTCCTAGAAGATGAGTACAAACTGTCTTCTTTGATATTATATCAATTTGAATACTCTTCAGAAACTCCAATATTTACAGGAATCAATGGAGAAAGGAGGCAGCTGGATCCTGCAACGCATGGCTAGTTACCCATGGAGAACATGGGTGACGGTGCGGGCAGGGGACTTTGCTGGACCTCTGTCACGTCGAATCGCTGAAGGGTGGGAGTCACCGATTGTCTCAGCCCTGTGGTTCTCAACATGTGGTGCCCAGTGACATCAGCGTCACCTGCGAACCTGCTAGGAATGGAGCGTTCGGGCCTCATGGTCCAGCACCCTGTGCTCTGTCAACTCCCTGGTGGGTGACTGTGACGCAACACTGTCCTGTCCATGCTAACATGGACCTAACTCCCCTAAGTAAAGTTTCCCTCTTGGCCAAGTGGCACCTTTGAGTGAAACCTATGGGCGAGACACAAACCATATCCAAGTTTCACGATGAAGTTTTTCTTCTGGTGGTGATGAAATCATTCCATAGCTCCCCATTTTGAGGCCTTGAAACTATAACAGACTCTCCAAGCCTCCCAGACCATGGTGTCCAACTTTGAACACGGTTGTCACATGACTGCATTGAATGAACATGTGAAAGGAGGTTAATAAGAGCTTGGGGCTGCAGAGGGAAGGAATAGCATTACCCTTAGCTTGTTAGATACTGTACCTGCTGGGAGCTGCCTGACCCGCCCTGATGTGAAGTCAGCTCGGGCAGCAGGCTTGTCACACGTTCCTGCCCCTGGGAGGTCTTCCCTTCTGGATTTTACATTGCTTCCAGGGGTCCCTTCCCCTGCGGCACTGCCCTGCCAGTGAGGTGAGTTGCTGGCCTGGCAGCTCCTATGTTTCCCGTTTTCTCATCTCAGATGCAGCTAACTGGGTCCATTCCAAGATAATTCCATGACACAGGCATGAAATCTGCTGCCTTGGGTGCATCTCTAAGCCTGATGCAGGGCTCAGGGGCCTTTCAGACTGTTTACGTGATCGAATGGACTGCCCACTTACGTGCGGTGTTGCCATCCCTTGGACTCTTGGTGTTCTTTTGTTCCTTTAGCTTCATACATTGAAAAATTTCACACACAGAGAAAAGCTAAAATAAGAGTCTGATGAAAATCTGGCACGCTGCATCTAACAGTTTGCTGGATCAGCGCGCTCTCTCTCTCTCTCTCAACACACAGCCACACACACCACTCTTCTTCTAAGGGAATTGCAGATACGGTGTTCCATCACTCATACTTCACCACGCACGTCTCACACAGCTGCACCGTCACCCAACTCCAAGTTCATTTTCAGAGTCCTGGTTGTCTTCTTGTTCTTGACTCCGGTCAAGGTTCATCCTTTGCATGTGGAGGTCATGTCTCCAGCTACCTGCAGCAGGGCTTCTCCCTCTCTGTCTTACATGCACGTCACCAGAGAGGCTGGTCCATGCACGTCTGAATCCCACGGGGCCGGGTGGGGCCCAAGAGTCTCTCATTCTAAGAAACTTGCACTGGCCAAGGACCACACTTTGAGTAGCAAGGTTGGGACGTGTCCCCTAGTGTTTTTCCTTTGGTGACACTGACCACAGAAGGAGTCCAGTCCCACTTCCTGCAGAATGATCCACACGCCGAGGATTTCAACCAGGAAATTAACTGGTTTCTCTAAACTTCTCCTTGATTGTAAATCAGAAGTTCAGGGTGGAGGCTTGGTTCTTTTCTATGCAGACATTTATGGCAGGAACACTCTGGAAGTGGTGACGAGTGTGTCCTAGTGTACCCCAACAGGGACTCTCAATATCATCCACGCTGTTACTAACACTGTGCTAGGCCTTCACAGTGGTGGCCAGCTTCTCCATGGCCACTTTTTAAAGATTTATTTATTTGAAAGGCAGAGTGACAGAGAGAGGGAGAGACAACAAGAGAGAGAGAGAGAGAGAGAGAGAGAGAGAGAGAGAGGTCTTCTATCCACTTGTTCCCTCTCCAAATGGTCATAATGGCTGGAGCTAGGCAGGGTTGAAACCAGGAACCTGAAGCTCCTTCTGGGTCTCCCATGTGGGTGCAGGGACCACATACTTGGGCCACCTTCCTCTTTTTTTCCAAGCATATTAGCAGGGAGCTGGCTCAGAAGCAGAGCAGCCAGGAACCACTGCTCCGTATGGGATGCTGGTGTTCAAGGTGATGGCTTAACCCACTGCGCCACAACACTGGTGCCTCCAATTTTTTTTTTAATGAAAATTTTAAACACGCCCGCAAACAGATACAAATAATCTAACAGCACAGAGGAAAAACAAGATTTCAGGTTCCCAGTGGCAGTGTCTCCGGGGGAGCTCTCTGCCACCACCAGGCTTCTGCGGGGGTGGGGAGCCTCTCGCCCACCTCGGTCCCTTTCTCACCTGGATCCCAAAGCAGGGTTGTCCCACAATGGCAGTGGTGGCAACAGCATCCACCATCGTCACCTTATCCTCAGCTGTGTACCAAGCAGGATGCCAACCCCACGAGGGGACACAGTGGCCTACATGGGTGCCCTCAAATTTCACGGTGAAATTTCCCAACCCCAGTGTGACATGACGGTGTCGGGAGGTGAGGCTGCGAGGAGGTGACTAGGTCCCATGAGCAAAGCCTTTGCGCAGGGGACTGGTGCCCTTACGGAGACATGCCAGCGACTCCTCTGACCCTCTTGCCACCTGTGAGGACGCAATGAAAGGTCAGCAGTCTGCGGCCCACTCTTTCTATTGTTCACAAGCCCCAGGTCTCCAAGTTTCTGAGAATTTGTTAGAGCAACTGGAGGGAGGAAGTATGGTTAACCCCATTTTATACTTCCACCTAAGGTCACCATAGAAATGAGGATTTTCCCCCCTGAGAAGCCTGGCAGAGCAGGAGTGGGAACCTAGGCTGCTCTAGTGCTTGACCCCTACAACCCGCGACCACCTTTGGCTCATGGACACGACTCACGGAGGTAATATTGAGATGTGACTCCATATGAGTTGTTAAAGAAGTAACAGCAACGTCACCAGGGCTTTTCCAGAGTGATTTTAAAAATGAATTCCAAGGCGAGTTCTTGGTAAAAATGTTCATACGTTTGCAAAGTGGATGAGTAACAGAAGCTCATAGCCAAGGATCTTTTGTTCTCTTTGTTCCCCACTCAGGCGGTCCATTGAAAATGAGGCATATCTGGCCCGGCGTGCTGGACGGCGTGGGAAGCTTTCTTGACACCAGAGTAGCCACCCTGTGAAATGGTGCACTCAGGACACTGACACCCAAGAAACAGCAGCCAGGAGGGCTGAGAGGGGCAGGAGAGAGCTGGAGGGAGGAGCCAGGCGGCATCCACGGGTGTCTCCTGAGGGGCTCCTCCCTACACAGTCACCATGATCTGATCCAGGGACTTCCGTGTGAAGTGGGGCACCGTGGCCTCTTTGCTGGGGTACCCCACAGGGAGCAGCATCAGCAGCTTTTCATGGGCGGGGCGGCCCAGGAGCGCCCTCAGACGAGGCCCACAGTTGAGAGGAGTGGTGGTGACGGTCACCAGTCCTGCATTCTACAACAGAACCGGAAGAGAGTGCACTTTAGTCTGCAGGCAAGAGCACAGCCCTGCTACACCTGCCTGCTCTGTCGTTTCCCTCAAGTTGGGCAGCAAGGAGGCTGCCAGCTCAGGCGATGAGCATCTCAGCTCCTGCCTCCACTCCCCGACCTCCCCACCCTCTGCAGTTGGAAGCTTCTAGAAGAAGAAAATACTAATCTTATTTTCCAAAGCTGCGTAAGAAATAAGAATGGGTATTTTGGGGCCGGCACCGTGGCTCACTAGGCTAATCCTCCGCCTTGCGGTGCCGGCACACCAGGTTCTAGTCCTGGTCGGGGCACCGGATTCTGTCCCGGTTGCCCCTCTTCCAGGCCAGCTCTCTGCTGTGGCCAGGGAGTGCAGTGGAGGATGGCCCAAGTGCTTGGGCCCTGCACCCCATGGGAGACCAGGATAAGCACTTGGCTCCTGCCATCGGATCAGCGTGGTGCGCCGGCCGCAGCGGCCATTGGAGGGTGAACCAACGGCAAAAGGAAGACCTTTCTCTCTGTCTCTCTCTCTCTCACTATCCACTCTGCCTGTCAAAAAAAAAAAAATGGGTATTTTGTAGTTAGAAATTTAGGGATCCAACCACACCAAAGGGCTGGCAAAGAGCAGAAAATTCCCTTTAGCTAAGGGGTCGGTCTACAACTTGGTGCACTACTGAAATGATAAGAGCAATCCTCCTAGCCCTACCTCTTTCACAGTGTTCCTACTAAATACTCTTTTCTGAATTCCAGCTCCCTGACTGTGGTCTGTTACCAATAGATACAATGTTGGCTTTGGACCACCTCTAGGATCTGTCCTGAAGGGCTCTCATGCTACATCATCATCTACCTTGATTTCCAGAGTTTTACAATGCCTCAGCTACCGTTCTCAAGAACATAGGCATGAAAAATATATGTCTTTCTTCTTCCTCTACAGGCTAGGATCAGCTCTACTTCATCATGGTGTGTCTCATCCTTTATCATATCTGCTCATATTGTTTGAATTTGGAATGGGTAAATCGTGACCTTCTCATTGAGAAAATATTTACATCTTAATTCTGTGTGATTTTATATTTTGATCCTCCTTGAAAACACAGCTTTTGTTCTATACTGAATTTTGGATGTCTTAGAAATCTGTGAACATACAGAACATGTTAGATAACCCTTCTCTTTGAGATAACTTCTTTTACTATTGCATCTTCCACTCTCTCGGGATGCTAGCACTTTGATCTTCTGACAGATCAGGAGTTCTTTAACCTGAAATCCTCAGATCAAAAAGGGTCAAAGATAGAATTCAGCAGGTCTGTGTAACACCTATGACTTTGTCACAAATAAAATTCACAGATATTTCATATCACGTTACAATCGTTACAGATATTTTGAAACATCATCATCGTCATCATGATGTTTAAAATTGTAGACCTACTGTTAGATCCTGGAATTTAATGCACTGATCAAGGCCTGCCTGTTTTATTCTAAATAACAGCAATAGCCAAGCGCTTCTGTGACCGTGGAGCCAGCAGGGGAAGCAGCGAATCACGGTGAATGAAAACACCCATGCCCAATCAAAAAGGACTCAGTGGCTACGGGATGCACCGGGGATAAAGGAAATCCCCCACCAATCTCTCCCCAGACCTCCAAATAACGAGCATTTGGGTCCAAAGTGAGGCTTCCAGGCACTTCCCCGGCCACCCTTCTCCAGGAACCAGCAAGAGGCCCCGGAGCTGCCCAGTCCTGCAAGGCCAGCTTATTCCCGTCACACCCTATGTAAGGAGGGGGCTACCACAGTGTTCTCCTCCCTCTGATCACAACTTGCCTCAGCAAGCGCTAGAGGGCAGCAGCGAGCCGAGCTCCCAGGGAGCCCTCGCTGCTCCTGGATGGACCGCGGGACCTGTGGCCTCCGCTCGGGATCCTTTGTTCACCTACTCACAGGTGCAGTTAGGAAGTAGATGCCGGTCATCTGAAAGCACGTGCCTCTAGCGGTGGCTGTGTCCCCGGGAGCTGCTCAGCCGACACACTTGTCTGAGACGATGAAGCAGCTCGTATGTGTCGGAATGGACTGGCCCTCGAAAGTAGGACCACTCGCGCTGATAATCTTCGCTGCTGTGTTTATTTTGCGTTTTTGCCGTCTCTCCACCCCCAGCCCTGACTCCAAAGCCCTGCAGAACGCTCAGTTCACCAGCAACCCCTGGGACCGCCGCACGGAGGGAGCTCCGAGAATTTCTGCTGCGCGAGTGAATCGAATGGCTTGCGAGGCCCATCTGCACTGTGCTCTATCCCATGTTAGCATTGCTCTCACCGCTGTGCAAGGAAGAGGAAAATGCCAGCCCATAGCTGTGTTAAGTCATACAACGCCAAGTCAGCGTGTCAGGGAAGGCGCTGGAAGACAGTGCAGCCCCACTGCTAGCTTTGCCATCGTCCCCTCCCCCGCTGCAGGGGGCGGGGGGCAGTAGACACGGGCAGGGAGCGAGTCTCGGGGACTTTCAGCCTCTGAAGCTCTTGTGTGTCTGCCGAAGCCCTTGAAGCTGCAGGTTGTTACAGATGAGGGCAAACTGAACGACGATCCTTCGGACCCGAAATTATTTTCCAAGTGAATTTCCAAGAAGAATTCCAGCCTGTTGGACCCTCCTAATCACCCACCGGGGTCTCCAGCATTAGGAGTTTCTCTGGCATTCAACTTCGCATAAAGTTTCCTAACATCCCTGATTTGGAAACTCTGATGAAATGTGCTAATAGGGCCACCAAAGTGCCCCTCCACCCCCAAGTCCTGTTTCTCCCCCGTGGCGCAGTGGGAGGGAAACATACCTGCAGGGCAGCTAGCAGGATGCCACAGGCGATGGAAACACTGATCTCATTGTAGTAGTGCACCTTTTTCTTGCCCTTTGCAGTAAAGCCGTGTACTTGTTTGAAAATGAGAATCAGAACAGGGGCATCGTCCAAGTAATCTTTAATCCAGTTGGTTCTGGTTGGGGAGGGAAGAGATAATGGAGAATATTGGCTGTTGCTCTCTTCACTGCCTTAGTTTACTTACTATGAAAATAAAAATGCATGAACTTGCTGTTTATATTTAGGTTGAAAAAAAAAAAAGAACAGGATTTTTGTTTAGGTCTTGTTCATCTTCTGCTGCCCAAGAGCATTGAATTGATAAGGGCCCAGCATGCCGTAGCAGGAAGCTGTCATGGGGTACATGGAGGACCTCTGTAGCCCAGAAGGCACTGTACACAGCCCAGAGAAGCCTGCCAAGTGCTATCAAAGCAACACAAACCAAGTGCATCAGGAGGAGCCCCAAACTGAAACACTAATTTTGAGGAAGATTGGGAGAAATTTCTAGAAAGTGACTTCAAGTCCGGGCATTGAAGACCTGGGGTGGGGCTGCAGGAAGATGGGGACGGGCACCCCAGGCCTTGAAGGTGGTGTTGGGGTGGAGAATGCGCAGCAGGTCAGGCACTTTTCGGAGGGCTGGAGGCTGTGCTGCATGCTGGGGTAAGGGGGGCTGGCCCGGGACACACCCATCTCCCAAGGGTCTGCCTTCATGGGGTGGGCGATGGAGATCTGTCACAGCTTCTGAGCAGAGGCCTCCTAGGATCAAATCTGGTTCAAAAAGAGGCGGATCCAGTGGTATGGGAGAGGAACCAATGACAAAGTCATCCCAGTGGGAGAGACACCACAGGAGACCCTGACAAAGGCCCTGCAGGAGGGTGGGCAAGGAGAGCCTGGAAGGGGAGAGACCGCAGAATGCAGCGCAGGAGCAGGCCGGGGGAGGCTAAGAAGACTGAGAGATTGAACTGAAATCCCAGGGAGAAGGCAGATGCTGCTCACCCAGGTAGGGGAAAGGAAGGGAACTCCTGCGGGAACAGGAGACGGTTTACATGAGACACAAACCCAGAATTGAAATTGGTGTTTTCTAGCTCAGAACATGTATTTTTTTCTGTTTCCCATTAACCTGTGCCATATATTTTAGTGGAAGTTTTATTTGCTCACAGGTATTCAAAGGAGCGACAGTCTTACAATCCTATTTTTGGAATTTTTCCTTAAGCTCTATCATGCCATTATTTAGCAATAAATGGTCACCAATCATTTTGTGTTTACCCCATGCAAGTTTCTCTTCTTTAAAACATACTAAGCTCATGAGCTCATGTGTGCATCTTTCTGGGATTCTTACACTAGTGAGATCTATGTCACATCTCCAAAGCTGCCTTTACCATCCAGCCAGCTCAGTCCCACTGCTCGGTTGCCGAGTCTTTTCTCCCCACAGAGAGAATGGGAATGGGTTAGGAGGTCAGCTCTGGAGCTGCACTTGCAGGGCCACACTGGGGCAGCTCCTTGGCCTCTCAGGATTCAGCTTCCTCATTCGCAATCGGACTATCGTTCTCCCACTTGTGGGGTTATTGTAAGAGTGAGAGAAGTTGCATGTACACAAGGGGTCTCCAAAGAGTTCACAGATAATGCATATGATGAAAAGCTATGCATGGATTTCAAAATTCTTGGCACCAAAACAAACTTTTAATTTTCTGTGAAGATTTTGAAGTCTGCTTCTATGTAACAGTTTTTAACACCACAAAGATCAGAATTTCAAATCTTGGAAACATCAGTGCCGAAGAACCAGTTTTAATCCACTTTCCTGACTCACTCTTCAGCCCCACCCCCTGCAGGGCACACCTTTAGCACGTGGAGCAGACCATGGAGGTTGCTCTGATGTCCACCCAGCCACCCACCACCTAACGCTGCTGCCCCAAGGCAGGTGGATGTCATCAAGAGACTGCTGTGCATGTCCCAGACCAGGCTGTATTACATAAACTTGTATTCTCTATGATCTTTCCATGATTTAAAGTTGTAATTTTTGCGTTATTGCTTTGTATAAAATGTATATTGATAGAGGGAGAGAGAGAGAGGAAATAAGACAAATTTGCAAAATAGGAGGTGAAAATTAAATAAGCAATTTGCCTATATTCTAAGGCAGGTCAATTATTTTAGATTTTTGTGCTAATTTACTTTACCTAAGCATGCACTGATATTTGAATTTTGGTTCATTCAGTCGTATAAGAATTCATTATGACATATTAGAGCTAATACAAAGACAACAAAGAATTAATTCTGTTAAAAGAAGGACTTGTTGAAGCCCCCACTGTGGTACAGTGGGTTAAAACCCTGGCCTACAGCACTGGCATCCCATATGGGTGCCAGTTCTAGTCCCAGCTGCTCCACTTTGGATCCAGCTCCCTGCTAGTGCGCCTGGGAAAGCAGCGGAGGATGGCCCAAGTTCTTGGGCCCCTGCACCCATGTAGGAGACTCAGAAGAAGCTCCTGGCTCCTGGCTTCAGACAGGCTCAGCTCCAGAAGTTGTGGCCATTTGGGAAGTGAACCAGTGGATGGAAGACCTCTCTCTGCAACGGTCTTTCAAGTAAATAAAATAAATCTTTAAAAGAAGAAGGAGAAGGAGAAGAGGAGGAGGAGATAAAGAAGAAGAGGAAAAGAAGGACTTGCTAACAGTTGCACCTCTGATGGGGGTGAGGGCTCCTGCTGGTAAGATGGAGATGTAAGATTGGAAAGGGAAGCTGGATCTGGCCTGAGTCTCTAGCAACAGTTATGGGTTTCAGAGTGACTGAAACACTGACAAGGTGCATGACCATTTGCAGTTCCATTCAACAAGCATTTATTCTGTTATATACTGTGTATCAGCATGGCATGGGTGGTATAACGTGAGGCTTTTTAAATCCAACTCCCTGGACCCCAGAGTTTGTGTGTGTGTGTGTGCACATACACACATGTATATCTGTACGTATGGTTGCCAGAAATAGTCTATAACTTAATAGGATTCTCAAGGGTAACTTGTTGTACAACACAGATTTCTAAAAAGTTGCCTATAAAATGAGAAAAAAAGGAAGCAAGAATTAAAGTGCTATGAACAATGGAAGTGGTACATGAGGTGCTCTGGGCACAGACGAGAGAGCAATTAGCTGTTGAGGAAAGTAAGGGGATGAATTGGATTCTGGAGGGACGGTTCATACACAGAGTAGGACTTCTCTCCAAGTGTAGACACGCAGCTTGACTTTTATCTACCCCAGTTTCTCCCATGAATATTCAATAAGGTTAGCAAATCCATCGTTAATACCTCGTCCTTGTTCCACAGGTTGGTAATAAGTTACAGTTCTGTAAAACATCAATTTTGAGAGGGTTTAAATATCTTAGCAGAAAATTGTACCCTGGGGTCAAATGAAGGAAAAAGAGCTTACCACTTCTCACTAAAACACTGGGCAGGAAGTCCTGCTGTGCCCCCAGGACTGCCATCCCATCATCCTGTCCCTCTCTCTAACACTGGGCAGGAAGTCCCGCTGTGCCCCCAGGACTGCCATCCCATCATCCTGTCCCTCTCTCTAACACTGGGCAGGAAGTCCCGCTGTGCCCCTAGGACTACCATCCTGTCTCCCTTTCTTAGTCACTGGGGAGTGTTGCATGGCAGGTGCCAGAACTGGCCACAGGAAACCTCTGCTGAGTCCTGGAGGAATGAGGTGCTCCACATTCCGAGAGCCAAGGACTCGCACTCCCTCCCTCAGGGCCTTCTGGGAGGCCAGAGCCAGTGGCTCCAAGCACCAACCCTCCTCACGCGCAGCCTCAGTGGAGCTTGGGCAGGGAAGGAGATCGCCTTTGAGGCCTCCCCCACCCCCAGTGAGAGGAGTCACACTAGGGTCTACCACACTGCTTTCCTGGGGACAGGGACACCCACGAAGCTACCAACACTTGCCCTAAATTTCTGCTTTTACTACAGTTGCCCTGAAACTGAAGTCAGCTTAGCAAAGTCGTTCGGAAGACCCGATCATTTTAACAAAACAATTTTCTTTGTTCAAGATCTTGAGAAGCATTTCACAGTCTTGTGTTCAGAAGAGTGAAAACTGAAGGATTGCTTCAAAGTCTTGTTGAGGAAGCAGTCACCAGGACCAGACCCTGTTTATCTACAAAACACGCACACAGCAAGACTCTAGCTTCATGATTCCTCCCAAAGCCAAAATTAAGCTTTTTTATATATGTAACATTTAAAACACAACCAGGAAACTGCAGGGACAGTGGTTGCACTTCAAGAAAACAAGCCGAACGCCCCCCCTTCCAACAGAGCTGCACCTCAGCTTCCTAAGGTCTGCCACCCATCGGTGCCCCATTCTTCTCATGTAGTTTATTTCCTCCTCTTCCTCGATGACTTCCCGGATCTGGTGTTTCACAGCTGGGTCCTTCACCACCACAAAGGTCCAGGGCTCTGTGTGGGCCCCACTTGGGGCTGTTCCTATTACACAGTAGATGAAACTCAGAAATGAAAATGGCAGGCAAGCACGGGTTGTTAATCGAGAGGCAAATAGAATATTTCATCCTTGCTCAAATCAGTTTGATCATCTGGGAAACCAAGAGCTGGGCTGTGGGCTCTGGCATGCAGCTTCCGGTTCATTGTGTACCAAGTCTCACTTTGGGAGTCTCTGAACCAATGCATGAGGGCAAGGCCAGGACTTCTTGGGCTGTGGGACCAACTCCTGCTATTCAAGTCACGTGGGAGAAAATGTCCCTGAACAGCTGCACCATACCCAAGGGAAGAAACTCGGAGGGGAGATTCTGATACTCCAGATTCACCATTGGTTTTTATATATATTTTTTAAAAAAAGATAAAGTTGTGAAGCTCATTGAAAATGTTAAAATTTGTTTAGTGCTTATGTCAAAGCCCTGGGTATGGCTCTGTGGGATTTGTGGTCTTTCTGGGGACATGCAGAGTTGGGGAATGCTTGGCCCCAGGTGTTAATATGTGCAGCATCCCAGGGCAAAGCTCCATGGTGCACCCCTTGTCTAAAATGTTGAATTCCCTTTGAGATCCTAGAGAGGTCTTGGAACCACTTCTGACCCTGGTGTCACCCCTCAGTCCTAGAGAGGGCCCATTGTTCCTGGGTGTACCACAGAGACACACAGAAATTTAGCTGCAGGACATTTCTACAAGTGTAGAACTCAACTCGACTTTTGGCTGTTTCTTCCTTCCTGTTGAGTGGTTGAGTGGAATCAACTCTGCCTGCAGAAAGAATGAGGCCGATGAGCTCTTGTTGGGGTTTGCTGTCTCACACCACTCCTAATACCCACTGGCTTGTAAAACACAAGTCAAACTGGAAATTTTTACCCAGAGGGATTCTAGTTGACTTTATGTTCATTTTATTTGCTCACTTAATATTTGAATTTCTAAACTGAAGAAATAGATTTCTCTCAGTGTTTTCAGTTACTCCAAGTCTACTTTAAAAATCACAAGGGCACACACATAGGTAGAGATATAGCTAAAGGGGAAATTTAGTAATTGCTGTTGCTTTGTTAAAGGACTCAGCAGTCTACTGCATTTTTATTCTTAACTGGACCCGATAGACATGCAATAATTTCTGCAAGTGAACTTGAACGTGACTTATGTAGGAATAAGGTTCCAATCAGAAGAGACTCTCAAGTACAAATGTAAGGGCTTTCTCTTATAGCTCCTACTCCTTTTCTGTAATTCTATTTTTCTCCCCTCTGTGGAGATACTAATTTATGATGACAATGGGTTTGTCTTGTTTTGGTTCACATGGGGAAATTTTGCTAGTTCATTAGATTTCTATGCTGGAACATCTGGTATGTACATAAGAAATTTGTTTCCCAAAAGGTAAATGTTTGTGTGTGCTTGTGTATGAGTGTGTATGATTGTGTATGTGTGGTGTGTTTTAAGGGGAAAATGTTAAACAGATGTTTATCTTCCAATCATGTTCAGAAATCCTAGCTTTTAATAATACTTCATAAAATCAAAAAGTTTCAGAGATTTTGAAATATTAGTACATTTGCTTTCAAGAAATTTGTTAATAGTGAAAATGTAAAATGGAAACCATTATGGGTCTGCCAGTCACTCAACATCTCAGTAAGACTTTATAGATAAATATATCACTCTTGGCCTTAGTCATTGTGTTTGAACTTCAACATTGCTCCAATATTATCTCACTAGCAAGGCCCCTGACACTCTCAAAATCCCAGAGTGTAACTACAAACCTGCAGCTTTGATGACATTGTCAATGACTTCCATAGGGACCTGCTCATTGCTTATGAACCTGATCGAACGTCTCTTATTGAGAAGTTCATAAAATTCTTGGGACCTCTTAACCATTTCCTTCTCAGAATACCGGGTGTGGATGAATGGGATGTGTTCCACATTCTCCTCAGGCTCCTCCACATCATCGGCATCTAAAAACAAGAACAGGAAAGGTAGCAAATTAGATGAATTTTCTTGGTCATAGGTGGACACCAGGGGAGAAGGAGACAAAGTTCTGAAGTTGTAAATTTATATAAGCAAAACAAAAGAAAAAATCCATTAAAATAAAAAAATAGATCTACAGAGTCCTGGCCACTGATCTTGACTATCCATCAAACTCCAGGCTTGTTATAAAGCAAAAAAAGAAAACTTACCTATAGAAATATAAGAAATTCAAATTTCTGCTGATGTTTGAGTAGGTTATTCAAAACAAGTTTGCATCCATTGAGAACCACTTAGACCATAAATGAGGTATGTTTTAAGATTTTTAAAAATCACTGAGCTGACAGCACAATAAAAAATTCCCAGACCAAAACTGGACAAAAAATACGAAGTTACAGGTAAATAAGCAGAAAAGCTGTTTCCCCGATTGTGCTCATTGGCCAATCCCCACACATTTAATTTTCCACATTTTGGGGATTCAAAAGCAATGGAAATAAAACCCAGGCCCACACACCATGGGAAGCCTAATAAGCTAGGACCCCAAGACCCTTCTTAGGGAAAAAGAGAATCAAATGAATCAGTTCTCGAGGGTTTGCATTAGTTTTGTGGGTCCTTCCTCAAAGTTGTCCTTGGAATAAAATGGACTTGCCTCTTGACCTAGCAAAAGCAAATGCTACTGTACAAATAATTTTAAGTCCAATTATTACCAAGTGCAATCAGTCACATAAAGAAACAATCTCTTGAATGAAGAAGAGCTGAATCAATTTTTTCCCATCTATTTTTTTTAACTTTTATTTAATGAATATAAATTTCCAAAGTACAGCTTATGGATTACAATGGCTTTTTCCCCCCCATAACTTCCCTCCCACCCGCAACCCTCCCCTATCCCACTCCCTCTCCCCTTCCAGTCACATCAAGATTCATTTTCAATTCTCTTTATATACAGAAGATCAATTTAGTATATATTAAGTAAATATTTTAATAGTTTGCACCCACACAGAAACACAAAGTATAAAATACTGTTTGAGTACTAGTTATAGCATTAATTCACATTGTACAACACATTAAGGACAGAGATCCTACATGAGGAGTAAGTGCACAGTGACTCCTGTTGTTGACTTAACAAATTGACATTCTTGTTTATGGCGTCAGTAATCACCCGAGGCTCTTGTCATGAGTTGCCAAGGCTACGGAGGCCTTTTGAGTTCGCCGACTCTGATCATATTTAGACAAGGCCATGGTCAAAGTGGAAGTTCTCTCCTCCCTTCAGAGAAAGGTACCTCCTTCTTTGATAGCCTGTTCTTTCCACTGGGATCTCACTCACAGAGATCTTTCATTTAGGTGTGTGTGGTTTTTTTTTTTTTTTTTTTTTTTTGCCAGAGTGTCTTGGCTTTCCATGCCTGAAATACTCTCATGGGCTCTTCAGCCAGATCCGAATGCCTTAAGGGCTGATTCTGAGGCCAGACTGCTGTTTAGGACATCTGCCATTCTATGAGTCTGCTGTGCATCCCGCTTCCCATGTTGGATCGTTCACTCCCTTTTTTGTTCTATCAGTTAGTATTAGCAGACACTAGTCTTGTTTATGTGATCCCTTTGACTTTTAGTCCTATCAATGTGATCAATTGTAAACTGAAACTGATCACTGGGACTAGTGAGATGGCATTGGTACATGCCACCTTGATGGGATTGAATTGGAATCCCCTGGCAAGTTTCTAACTCTGCCATTAGGGGTAAGTCCGAGTGAACATGTGCTTAACTGTACATCTCCTCCCTCTCTTATTCCCACTCTTATATTTAACAGGGATCACTTTTCAGTTAAATTTCAACACCTAAGAATAATTGTGTATTAATTACAGAGTTCGATCAATAGTATTAAGTAGAACAAAAAAATACTAAAAGGGATAAAGTATTAAGTTGTTCATCAACAGTCAGGACAAGGGCTGATCAAGTCACTGTCTCTCATAGTGTCCATTTCACTTCAACAGATTTCCTTTTTGGTGCTTGGTTAGTTGTCATCGATCAGGGAGAACATATGATATTTGTTCCTTTGGGACTGGCTTATTTCACTCAGCATGATGTTTTCCAGATTCCTCCATTTTGTTGCAAATGACCGGATTTCATTGTTTTTTTACTGCTGTAAAGTGAGCCGAATCAATTTTTAAAAATACAGACAGATGCTCAATGATTCCAAATATTGAAATTATTGACAAACTAATACAAGTCTGTAGGACATAAGAAAGGACAAAAGATGACATATAAAATATGAGAAAACAGAATTTCTCAAACTGAAAAATAATATAATTAAGAACTTAATGAATGGGTTTACCAGCAGGTTAGACTACATAATGAGAGAATCAAGGAACCAGGAGATAAGTCAGAAGAAAATACCTGGGAGACACCAAAATATGGAAGGCATAGAAGAAAGAGCAAGAAAAAATAGTGTAGAGTGAGAATGTCTGACAGACATTGTGCATAGTCAACAAAGGAGGCAAGAAAGAGGAAGTGGCAGAGACAATACTTGAAAAGATAGTGCCTGAGATTTTCCCATAACTGATGAAAAATATCAAATCTACAGATTTAAGGTGAATAGAAATTCTAAGTATTTTAAAAAGAAGCCCATACTTTTATAATCAACTGTGAAATTTTAGAGAACAAAATCTCTAAAAGAACAAGAATATCATCATATTCTTAGAATTGTATCTACAAACTACATTGAATCTGCTCTCTTTGTATTAATATACCATTAATGTGAAAATATCAGATGGTAAAAACAAAGAGCGAGCAAAAATAACTGAATTCCTAACATGAAAAATAATAAAATTGCACTGAGTATAAATGGATTAAATGTTTCTGTAAAAATCAATTTTTTTTCTGTTCAAAATAGTATTTATAAGAGGCACATCTAAAACATAAGTATATAGAAAGGTTGAAAATTATCATGCATTGTGGCAGAAAAGTTACACAATATATCACATAACTATAATATATCAGATGAAAGAAAAATCAAGAATCATAACATTTATAGCAAAACATTTTATATCAAAATTTAATTTTCTGGGAAAACACACTTTTAAATGCTATACACTTATGTCATAGGAACTCAAGACAGACTTTTAATCTCAAGGGAAGGTCTTACTACATCTATCCCAGTAATGATAGAATAAGCAGAAGGAAGAAAATCAACAACTATACAGATGATATGAGCAAGACAATCGTAAAAAGGAACCAAATGGAAACATAGAACTACAGAAAACACATCCTTTTTTAAGTACCTGGCTCCTGCCATCGGGTCAGCGCGGTGCGCCGGCCGCGGCGGCCATTGGAGGGTGAACCAATGGAAAAGGAAGACCTTTCTCTCTGTCTCTCTCTCTCACTGTCCACACTGCCTGTCAAAAAAAAAAAATCCTTTTTAAGTAGACTCAAAACATTCATAAAAATTGGCCATCCATTGGGCCAGAAAATAAGACATTTTAAAGTTTCGATAGATAATCATCTCTGATGTTAATACAATTAATCTAGAAATAAGCAATAAAAAGATAACAGGAAAATTCAAGAAGCTACCTTATTGGAATTCGGAAACACCTCAAAATGAAAATTAGAAGTTACTACATACTGAAAAAAATCTGTTCAGTAACACAAATATACTGTGTTTAGAAAGAGAGCTTTAAACAGATGCATTAGATAGGAAGAAACCCTAAAAATTAATGAACTAAAAATCCATTTCAAGAAGATTTTTAGAAAGAGCAGACAAATAAAACCAAAGATGGTAGGAAGAGGAAAATGCTAAATATAGCACATTAAGGAAAAGGACAAGAAGCATCCATTATGGAGAAACTTCAAAACCAAGCATGGTTCTCTGAAAATACTGATTAAATTCACACCAGGAAAGATTGATTGGGGGAAAATTAAATCACAACTAAAATATATCAGGAACAAAAACAAGGAGGTATTACTACAGATACTACTGACATTTAAGCAATATTATGAGGACATAATTATGACTGTTAAACAATTGTATGAGGACGTTATTATGACAGTGTGTTAGATTATTTGCATAAAATGGATAAATTTCCAGAAAATATAACCTGTAAAAATGAATTTCAAAATAGAAAACTGAAAGGTCCTTAAATAAATTGAAATAGTAGGTAAGGATCTTCCTGGAAAAGAAGCAAGCTCTAGGCCCAGATGCTTCATAAAGAAGTTCTACCAAAGGTTGATAGATCCTATTGTTGAACTCTCCCAAACTCTTCCCAGCGACAGAAAACAAAGTGACACCCCCAACTCAATTTATGTGACTATCACAACCTTAGTACCAAAACATGACTAGGGCATTAAAAGAAAGAACAATTACAGTTTCAATGATCTCACAAATATAGACAGAAAAATCCTAAGCAAAATATTACTAAACAGAATCCAGTAATACTTACATGTAAGACACAATACTTTTTGACCAAATTGGGATTATCCCAAGAATGCAAGATTAATTTAACATTAACATTAGAAATTTAATGCTAGAAAAATAATCATTTTTTTCAGATTAACAAGCTAAAGATCACACACTATAAAAGCATTCCGATGCAGAAAAAAGTATTTGACAAAATTTTACATTCATCTCTTAGTAGAACCAGAGTTTTTTAAGCCTAACTACGTGAGCTAAAATCCCCACAGCCAGCTTAGTCAATGGTAAAACACGGAAAACCAGAGACTGACAAAAACAAGGAGGTTGAATGTTATCACCACAATTCTAAACTACAAAGACTAATTTTTAAGAAAGAAAGGTAAGAGAATATCTTCATGACTTTAAAGTAGAGAGATTTTTTAATCAACATACAAAAATATTAATCATAAAAAAACTGTGAAATGAAACTACATAAAATTCACCATTACAACCACTTGCTTCTGCCTCTTTCTCCTGACCAGAGAGTTCTGGAAGCTTGTCATCTGTGGCTCAAGATCTTACAGAAGATGAAGACACAAAGAAGATTTAATA